GGAGGGAGGGAGGGAGGGAGGGAGGGCATGCGCGCGCATGTGCGTGTGTGTGCGTGTGTGTGCGTGTGTGTGCGTGTGTGTGACACCACTCATGAAGGGTCAGAGAATAACCCCAGGATTCACCATTTTCACCCTGTTTGAGAAAAAAGGCCCTTAGCTGTTTTTCTGCCATGTATGCCAGGCTAGCTGGCCCGTGACCACCCAGAGATCCTCCTAGCTCTTCCATCTCCCTTTACGAACACTGAGATTACAGATGCAGATGCAGAAGTGACACGGCCTGCTTTTACACAGGTTCTGGGCATTTGAACGTAGGGTCCCAGGCTGCATGGGAAGCACTACCCACTGAGCCACATCTCCATCCTCCTCAAATGTTTTTTGCTTCCTGGAACACTCACTGGGTGCCAACTGCTCTTCCACAAGCTTTTCCTGAGCTCTGACCATACTTGGAAGAACTTGTATCAATTCCTGTGGTGAGTTACCTACTCCTAGCATTGTGTCTTACACACACAACACACATTAAAATCCAGGTGAGTACTTTAATCTAACAGTGGTTGGGTACATTAGAAGAAACAGGAGGTAAGAATGAATGAAATATTTTCCCAGATTCCTATTACATGAAAAATGAACAAGCTGAAACACAGAGGTACACGGCAGATTGGCAAAGCACAAGCTGTACCCAAACTCAAGTCACCCTCTGCCTCGGCTAATTTGCGGGAAGCCATTTAATCCAAGTCTCTGCTTCCTTCTCTGTACAGTTGGTACAACTGTTCTAAGTCACGACTGTGTAAAGTCCCTACATTCACAAGCTGGTGGTTATTTTCAACATATTAATTTTCTATGTAAAACCCACAAAGCAGTGAGCAGCCTTCCCCATAATAACGGCTCCATGATCCCCTAAAACTTTGTAAACAAATTAAGCCTTTTTTATCTGAAAATATAATTTCACAGTGGAAAAAAAAAATCAACTTACTCACAACATCAAGCTTTTAAATTATAATTTTATATAACATTGATATGAAAATTGCTGGCCAAATATGCAAAATATAAAAACATAGAGAAGCATAGATTTGTGAGCTGAAAAAATAGAACAAATTCAGTAAAAGACAAAAATCCAAATATCCCCATGTGTCGAGGTAGTCATCATATTAAATTGTTTCATACAATCGTCTTTAACTATGAATGTAGCTGCTTACATCCTAACCATTAGCCTTAATATTTCAGAGGAACATGGTTTCCTATATCATGACATATTATGCTTAGATTACCTCAAAGATGGAAAGATCAACAACTACATATAGAGAAAATGTTTTTAACTTTGACAATTATCAATATCATTAGAAGCATAGCAAAGAGGGCCAGCAAGAGATGGCTCGGTGGGTAAGAGTGCCTGCTTCCCAACCTAAGACCTGCATTTGATTCCTGGGACACAAATGATGGAAGACTGACAGAGGCAACTGTCCTTGGCATGTGTATACACACACATACATGTACACACAATACATGTACACACACAACACACATGTACATATACAATACACACATACATGTACACTTACAACGCACATACATGTATATATGCAGCATACAACATTCAACATATATAAATATATAGATATATACAAACAGAGAGGCAGAAATGAAAATGGTTTGAAGAATACACAAAACCACATAAAATCGGACAAAAGTAAACACGCAGAAAAGAGTCATCTTGTCACCTTTGCTTTCCTGACAACTATAAGAGAAAATATTAGGTGACACATCTGTCACCTGGGTAGAAGATTTTTCTAAAACTTCCTTACACTATTTAAATTTTTCTGTTAAAATCACACAATTTTATAAATGTCCACTAAAAATCAGTTTGTTTGTTTTTCTTAAGCAATTCCACAATATAAGTCAGCACTGTCGCCCACCTCAACCTACAACTGCAAGTTCCAAAGCCCCTGGCACGTTAATGACACTGACAGTAACACGTGTCTGTTCTTTCTGCACATGCTGGCGCCTCTGTGCGTGACTCCCATTCCTCAATCCCATCGACCGCTGCAGTATACACTGTCAGTCAGTGTATTTAGAGGAAGAGGAAAGGAAGACATGGATGACTAAACATTTGTCTAGGGCTACACAGCAAGAAGTAAAGACAGGGTTACATTTTATATGCTCTGGCCCTGGAGTAACTTTCCAAGAGGATTACAATGTAGCTCAAATATGCAATTCGAAAGTTCCTAATAGTTATACTGAAAAAAATACCACAAACAGGAAAAATTAATTTAAAATGTAACTTAACCCATTCTATCTAAAACACATTTATCAGATAGTAAAATTGGAAAACATTACTAAGAAATTTACTATGTAGTCATATAATCACATAGTCTTGTCTTCAAAATCCAGTGTGTACTTTAGCCTATGGCTTACTTCAGACTTGCTTGGTGCTTGGTAGCATGTGCAGGCAGCAGCTCCCCCTGGTGTTAGATATGACCACTCCCCAACCCTGTCTTGTAACAGATCTGCCATCACAGAGGGATCGCCACAGGCCTGCAGTCACCCTGAGTATTTACTGCCCTCTAGCAGACTGTCCTCAGATGACCTTTTCCACTCCAGTTTGATAGCAAGACAGACAGAAATGGGTCACTGAACTAACAGAGTCACTTCACTGTGTCTCTGCATTGGCCACTGCTTTAAATGTCCCTCCCAGGGGTATCTAAGTAGCAAATACCCTCAGAACACAGGAACAAGGCCAGATCGTTTCCTGGCTCTGATAATGAAACTAATGATTTCCTGTAGCAAAAAGCCTGGGTGGGTTTTCCAGCAACTGCCTCCTAAGACTGGAGGTGGCTCAAGCTTGGAGCTCCTCGGGTCTTATACAAACCCCACAAGTATTCACTATCTGACTGGGCTCCTGGGCATCACCTGGAACAAGAGCAAGTCGGCCACCCGCACTGCCATTTGCAGTAAAGTCTTTTGTCTCTGGTTCAGGAACCTTATTTTTTGCCAGAAAGCCTCCTGAAGCTAGACTGCTAACTCAGCATGAAGTAGGTTAACTAACAACTCATGGCCCTCAGCTCTGGCCTTTAAATTTTGCTGGATTTGAGACTAGGAATCTCCCAGAGATGAGTTTTACATTTTCTTCCTAGACTGGTTAATTTACCATCCTAGAGTTAAAAGCTGCTGGAGAACAGCAGGCTGGAAAACCATCGATTTTCTTTCTGTTGCTTGCAGTCTCTCCCCTGCAGCAAAGGTCCCCATTCGAACACCTCCCTGAGAACCCACACATTCTCTTTTCTTTCTTTGTAGCACTTGCGTATACTGTACCTTTCCACAGCATTTGGCTTTGTCTATAATCTTTAATGCAAACTCTTTTCCAGTGGACCTAGGAATAACCAGAGGAAAACCATTAAAGCTACAAGTCGGAATAAACCTGCCTTCCTAATTCCCTGTACAGCACAGGCACCTCTGTCCCTTAGTCAGTGTGGGGAGGGGTCACGGGAGGAAGGACCTCCCAAAAACAGAGGAAGAAAGAAAAGTCAGGCTAATTAAACCTTCCTTTACATTATTAACTCATATTGAAGTATTTAAGTTTTGTCGTATCAACCTTAAACCTCAAGATGGTCTCTAAGGAGAAAGAATAAGGAAAAGTTCATCAGATTAACAGGAGAAAGAAAACCTGACTCACGATGTCTCTTTACATTAATATACAAGCCACCTCAGTCTATAGTTAAATCCTTGCCCTTTCAGTCCCTAGCCTTCCTCCATACCTTCAACAAGATCTGGTATATGTTATTTCACCCTACAGACCCTGCCTGGCACTAAAGAAATCCCTTATTAGACACAAGAATCTTAATCTAATACTATTTAATTTTTACTCAATATTAGCACAGTTGAATTTGACAACATTGAAATGCAAACAGTGCAACAGAGAACATCACAGTCTTCTTAGGAAATATTCAGAAAACACGTGTTCTCTCATCTGGGGCTGCTTCTGCCAAAGGGACGAGGCCCAGCCTGGAAAAGTAACATTTAAATTGTTCCCCTTGTATTATAAACCACATCCTAACAGATCCATAGAAGCTATATTTTAGACACCTCAGTGTTTTCTTGGTCAGCAATCTGTATGGCAGAGCTCTGTAAAAAGCTTCAAGAACGAGGGGTTTCTTATATAATAGGGATATATAAAGGGCAGTGAGCTCTCATTGGAGATGCAACAGAACAGATGAACTGTAATTATCAGAACCTTCTAAAAACCTGACACAAACTATAAAAATCAGCCTCTTGGAAGACAGTGGGCAGGAGGAATGGGATTAGGAACTGTCGGAGGGTGGACTGGGAGGGGGATAACAACTGGACTGTAAAAAAAGATTAAAGATAAATATTTAAAAAAAGAAAGTTGGCTCCTGCTCTCACAGTCATGGCTACTGTATCCAGAGCTATGAGTCTATCAGCCCAGCACTGGGTGAGAACATTGCTCTGAAGGTTCAATGAAGTGGCACAGCATTCCAAGAAGAGCCTGGTCACAATGGCTCATTTTCTTCCTTGTAGCTCTAGGCTGGGGGATGATTTCTGATATGTCCTCTAGACCACATTCATACAAAACAATTTTATGTATATAACTGTCTTCTGACAAAAGGCTCATGGCCATGTCAAAGAACCGGCACCAGGGGCAGGTCCTCTAAGGAAAGGGGGACAAGGCACTTCTAATTCCAGAGGGAGAACTGTACCTGTGGAGGAACAGATCACGAGCCACTCACCTGTCCATACACTCTTTAACTACTGCAAAGTTGCCATCGCCAATGACCTTCCCAATTCTGTATTTCTCCAGAAGGGTGAAGGACTCGGAGCACCTGTTTCCATTCACACCTGCAGCCAAGGACAAACACGAAGTCTGAAGGAAACATCAGCATTTCCTACTGATTCCTACATACTTGGAAAATAGTGAAATGCAATGAATGCTATTATTTATAGGTCTAAGCTAAACTAAAGAAAACCCTCAGCATATTTACTTCCTAAGTAGAATGCCAAATCACCATTCCTTTTGACCTTGTTGCTTAGAATCAGAAACCCACAAAAATCAGTAAGCCCCCAAAATATTGAAATGTCAGTTAAAATAAATGATTATCTTCAGGAAGAGGTGACGACTAACCTGAGCTTTTAAAAATTGCTCTGTCAGGGAAGAGGAGGTGCGTGAGGCAGAGTCAACCAGAGGAATACTCTACTGTATTCTACTGAGATCTCTCCTAGTAAAGAAAATTCTATCAAAGTAAGGCACTATGTTGAAGCTAATTACTGGCCCAAAGCCTTCTCAAAAAAGTGTGCAATGGGCTGCGAGCTAACACCAGTCCACTGTCATGGTGTGTCTTGTTATCTCAGGCAAAGCAGAATATATTTGTGTTCATCTAATTGAGAGAATCGAAAAATATCTAGGAACTACTAGCACATAACCAGGAAGAGCGAAAGAGAGGAAGCCAGGACTAACATCTGAAACACAAAATGGTATGGCAGAGACACTACATACCCTGAAGTGACTTCCACTCCCAACACCTCCTAAAACTAACTCGACTAGCAGGTGGCATGGTCACATCCCTACTGAAGAAGAATGTGGGACCTGTGAGATTCTGATGGCCAGCAAGTTTAGCTAGGTTTTCTTTATAAAAGTAATAACCAGATTGAGAAGTACCTTCAGGACTCATGCAACGGTCAAGTTCAGGTCCACCGTTTACATTGGAAGAAGATCTGCCCTGAGCAGAAATCTGCTAAAAGAAGAAAATAACCATTATTATTTATTACGATACATTTATAAATTATTAGCTCCCTAGTATTTATATGATGTCAAATGACTAAAACAGGAAAATGATACAGAACTTTTTTCATTTATACAACATAACATATTAATGAATTTATTTCACAGATACAGCCTCCAATTCAGATTTAACATCACAAAAATTGACATTGTACATTTTAAAGCTGACTCCTGTGGAACATTAATACCTCAGTCGTTACTGCTTTCCCTCCAAATGCCTCGCACAGAGCTCACTGTCTAGTAAACAATTTCTGAATTTGTTCAATCCTTTATTCCAAGGTGATTCCTCCTCCAATACACTCCTTCCTACATCAAAAATCGCCAGAGAAATCAGAGATCAATATAAGCTAATACCAGCCCTGCTCTCTTTGTCTGAATGCTGGGATTACAAATATGCACCACCATTCCTAGTAGCCTAGCTATTAAAGGAATAAACAATGAGAAGAATGAAATTCTTCTGCAAAGTTCAATCTCAAAGATAAATAAAAGGAGCCCTGGTGACTACTCCCAGGACTCAGAACAAATGGACCAGGGGGCTAGGTCACCAAATTCTAGTGAGTAATAATAGACAGGATCTGTTCACAGATCTAAATCTCATCACCCGGAATGAGACAGCCTACACCTGCTGGGTAGAGTGTGGCACATCCTCTGCCTCCAGCACCTAGAACTCCAGGACACAAGGCCTACACCTCTGAGATGTTTGGGCCAGCCTTGGTCCTGTGGCCTACTTCCTTCTTGCCCAGCTTTCCTGGAAGCAGTTAACATTCCTCCAAGTCCCTCTCTTGGTCTGCATGTCCTGACTGACTCCAGGACTCTCTAAGAGGCTCCCTGAGGAGGGCAATGGCTGGAGCAGGCACAGTTACCTCCACGTCACTCACAAGCACTTCAGAGTGTTTACCCACTGAGTTCCTGTGAACCTTTCTAACTCCCTCGGTGTTTACTCTGAGTAAAGCCCCTTTCCTTCCCCATCCCCATTCCTTGTGCAGCCGATTAATTATAAGCCTGCTCTGTACTGGGAGTCCAGGGGGACAAAAGGCATGGAAAGAAGTCAGGAAAAGAACAGGTGTTGGACGCCGGTTCTCTAATAAAAATGTGCCAAATGGGGAAGCCATGAGTGTAGGAGGCGGAGGCACCCTGTGGAGGGAGAGGGCACAGAGCCAGTAAGTCCATGTGCATCCAACAGAAGCTTTGGTGAATCAGCAGGAGTTGTGGCTTTTTAAGCAAATAATGACAGAAACCATTTTTTCAACTCTCAAATTGACATTTTTTTTAAAAGTGCTAAAAGGGATTTTCAAAAATCCCTGCATTGACTTAACAGGAGTGACTCATCCAATATATTCCTCTACTTGAAAATAAGGCTTTCAATTTTTAAAAGCATGAAAAAAATAATACTACAGGAGATAACTGTACTGCAACCCAGATGAACTAAGGCCAAGACATAATGAGGAATAAACATAACAACATAAATTTCCCTTTCTTTCCTCACTGTTTAGTCGAATTTACAGCAACTACTGGTGCTGTGTAAAAGGATACGAAGATGAAGAGACATGGCCGTTACCGACCAGGACTGGTAATTCTATGAGACACATGAGAATAGTTAGAATACTCCTCGAAGCCTGCCCATTCCAGGTCAGGGCCTGGTGGCCTGAAGTAAATGCTGAAAGGCTAGAAGAGGGAGTCACACTGCCCAGGATTACCCTAGGCTATACCTCTTAATCTCCAGTTTATGATTATTTTCACTTGACTTCCCCACCATGAAACGTGGCTCTCCAAGGCCATCAAAGCTGGCTTTTCATCTTGTTCTCCAGAAAGAGTGCTGGTGAACAGGAAACAGGAAACACTGTTGTTAAATAGAAGGCATAATATTCCCTATGGCCTTCAGACAAGCAGACCTAGAGGACATGGGGGCCACAATGACTATACTAGTCTATGATTTCCTTTGCAGACATTTTGTGCATTTCCCTGTCCCTGGCAAGAGAGTTACCCACTAAGTCATTTTACATTTGTAGCTAACAGTGATAAGTGGAATCCACCGTGTATGTAAACAGAGGTCAGGCTAGTGGCTAGCTTGCTGCTGGCTTTGTGGATCTGCTGAGTGAGCACTTCTAACCCCGAGTACCACAGCTCTGGAGGAGGAAGGAGTCCGCACACCCTGAGTAGAGGACCATAATGGCCCATGCATGCTCAACAGCTGCATTCGCATTTTTTTTATTTTAAAAAGATTTATTTATTTCATATTGTGAGTACACTGTAACTGTCTTCACACACACCAGAAGAGGGCCTCGGATCCCATTACAGATGGTTGTGAGCTACCACGTGGTTGCTGAGAATTGAACTCAGGACCTCTGGAAGAACAGTCAGTGCTCTTAACTGCTGAGCCATCTCTCCAGCCCTGCATCTGCATTTTACAACCTTAAGATCTAGCACACAGAGACAAATGATGACAGAGCACATGACCTGGCCAGCCAATCAGATGGTGCCAGCAACAAGGGGGAGATGTCATGGACCAATGGGGCATGGGTAGAGAGTATAAAGATACTTTCCAATCCTGCAATTAAACGAGTCTGTTCCTGCTTCTCACCTGACTCCCGGACTCTGTGTCATTGAATCCACACCTTCTAACTCCATACCCTCAAGGGCCATCCCAAGAGGCCGAGGGCTAGGGCAACACATCTCCATAGACTATGTGCTGGTCAAAATCAGCTAGAACCTCATCACATCTGTGAATGATCCCTTCAGGCAAGGTTATTGGATCTGAGCAAGAGACTAGCAGAATCATAAAGCCTCTTGTCCAAAATGTCTACGTGCTGGGAGCTTCATCACCTCTAGGATCCAGGGTGTCTCCATCATACGCTACCCAGTCACCACCAATGTACTACCATGAAGAGCTTCTAGTGTCCAGTGCTCACAAGCAAGGGGCATCGAAGATGAACACATGCTGGTTATATTCAAATACAGTTCTTACAGTTGCTCTGACTTATAGACACTTGCACAGTGATCACTGCCCCCCCCCCAATCTACCCTAATGTGCTGCAGCCCAGATGAGGACTGAACTATCCCCAAACTCATCAAGCTAACCGAGAAACCACCATGAACAAACAGAATCTGGTATTCAATGTCATGATTTATTTTACTAGGGCACTGAAGTCTTCAAAACTACTTAATCTGCCTCTTTGTTTCTGTTTCTGTCTAACAAAATCAATTATGCTCAAAGTTGAAGTCACCACACAGTGTTTCTGGGGAAATGAAAAGAGTCTCAGAGTGACCAGCTCCCTGGTTCTGAAAATTATTAACTTAGTTTTAAATTCACCAGAAGAGCCAGAGCTCCAGGGAAAAGCAAAAATGTCTAAGGTCAGCAGCTACTGTGGATTTACATCTCACAGCTTGGAAAAGAAGGTTCCAAGTTCAGGAGGTCAGAGAGTTTACATTTTAGCTCTGCCAATCAGGTTAGATACGAAAGCGCCTTCACCACACCTCACAAATCTGGGACAGCTTTCACCACTAGCAGACCCAGGAGACATCATCAGATAAAACATCAGCACATCAGACAGTTTATAATCTCAAGATGTTGGGTGACATTCCATTTGGACTTTGTTCTTCCTCCTTTCAACCAATAAGAATGCTCACTTTGGAGAGCTCCCAGACTGTACCTCTGCCTCAGAACTCAGGCATTTAAAACTGTGTGCCCTGAGTCTGAAGCCCTAAGTTACCGCTGCCTTAAAAGTCTTCAGTTTGGACAGATGAATTAAAGTTCGGGGAAATGTTCTCTTCATCTATCTGGCAGTCCTTGACATATTTAGTACTCTTTATTGCCTGTCTGCACCACCACCACCACCACCCCCCGCCTCAAATGCTGTGATTTAAGGACAGTAAGTAGTCCTGCAGAAGAAAGCTGTCAGCCATATCCAAGGGACTTGGAGGTGCCCTGGCAGAGGAAAGAGCTCGAGGGCTGAGGTCAAGACACAACTGGGAAGGTGAGGATTGGGGTTGGGGGGTAGGGGAAGCAATGACAGCAGCGGATTCCAAGACCAGAAGAAAAAAAAAGTTAGTGGGGAACAGGATGAAATCAGGAGAGAGAGTGGTAAAACTGGTGAGGAGAGAGACCATGGTGACTGCCAAGCAGGAATATGGGCAAAGAAGTCTGGGGAGATCAGATGAAAAGGAAGGGCAGCCTAAAACAAAGATTCTGGGCATCTGGCAGAAAGACAAAAATGTAAAATTGCTGCTAGCACTGAAAGGACCTGGACATCCCCTCCCAGCTAAACAGGCTGACCTGTGGGACCTAAGATACTGTGGTAATAGAAGCTCTGGCTTCCAAAGCTGGGTCACAGAAACAAGAACTGCATGGCATCCTTCCTCTGTCACATGCTTACAAAGGTAGCAGCCACCATTTGAGGACATGAAGGTCATCCACGGAAGAGTCCCAGCAAGGGGGAACAAGGCCTTCCAAACCTCTACCAGACACAGATCTGAATCTAGAGGTCAGTTTCTTTACAATGAATTATACAGAGATGCATAGTCTATTGCAAGGGAGGAGACATATTAAGTGGGACACATGGAGGAGCCTGGAGTTGTGCCATAGTTTGTCTGTGTCCTGGCACTCAGAGGGCAAAAGAGAAAAGGGGCTGAGGTGAGCTCTGCAGTGACCGACCTTCTATGGGTCCCATAACGCCCATGCTCCCGTGGCTGAAGGAAGCTCAGCAGACTAAGGCTGCCAGCCTATTAGCAGCTGCTTTTGCCTTTCATTTGTTAATCTATGGAATCTCCTCCTCCAGCTTCTTATTCTCCTGCCTCCAACCCAACTGTCAGCAAAACAAGAAGTCATCTGGAAGTGGATACCCCATTCCCATCAAGCCTCAGGTAACTACCCCTGTTGTGTACCAAGCCAACCAGCAATAAAAGAGCCTGGCAGAACCACCCAATTAACCTGCTCCTGAAATCCAACTAACTTCTAAGAATATGTGGGGAAATCAGTATTTGCTGTTATTAAGCTGTTAAGAATGCGATATCCAAAAGGACAGAGGGCAGGGGAGAGGAGAGAGGAAGGAGTGAGATGTAAGATTCCCTTCCCTTCTGCCACTCCTCCCTTCCCTCAGCTACAGACCTAAGCAGCAACTCCTAATAAAACTTCTGAACCCTCAACTCCATCCCACAGAGCATGGCCTGGGATGGGGGCCCTGGAGTCTATTCTCAACAAGACTATCCCTGAGGTGATGTGGCCTGCAGCTTGCTGGGTGCTAGGAATGTTACTCAGGATGCCAAAGAGTTGAATATTTTTGCTTTCTTGGAGCAAGAGACTGTTGGTCAGAACATTTTTAAGTACATAAGACAGGGATACAAGAGAAAAGCTCTGTCTGACCTCTCTTGTGCTTACCTTCCTTCTTACACACCATTACACACTTACGTGTTTCATGTGGAATTTCCTTCATGTGAAACTGAGCCTAGAGATTCCATGGTCACAGGAAGAACACTGAAGCTGTCCTGAGTGATTTCTCTGTGTTCTGTCCTCTAGTGCTTCACTTCAATGTATCCCACGAGCCCTCTTTTTATAGAAAAGGGCAACATGACTTCCCCAAGCCAGCGAGGGGGCCACACCAACACCAAAGCCAGGCACCACTCTGACTGGAGTCCGCTTCTAACCACAGCACTCTGTATCTGCCTCCAAGAGAGAGAGAGAGAGAGAGAGAGAGAGAGAGAGAGAGAGAGAGCGCGCACCAGCTGACTCAAGTGGAGCCCTGAGCTTCATTATGTCTCAGGCTGTCCATGGGCTGCACCCTAGCGTTCTTCAGTTCCACCTTGATCCTCTGAGTCAAAGATTTGTGGCTTAGCTGCCAAGGCTTAACTCGGATTGGCTGAAACATTTGCAGAATTCTTTCACAACTAAAGAAAGATGAAAGAAAACCAAGAACACCAGGAGACTAAACTAAGCACTCTTGTAACCATTCCTGAACTGGCCTCACTGCAAAGTCTTATGGTACCAAGACTGGAAAGCAGAAGCTTGCAGCGAAGGAGACTTCTGTCTGGCCTGCTTCTCCCTGAGGTAACTATCACCAAAAGTGATCAAGCTTTCAGAGAAGCCTTCTTCCCCAAATCCAAACAAAGGGGAGCCAAATGTTAGTACCTAGGGACTCAATTTTAGAGTAGCAGCCCAATAGGGATCTGCTAGATAACCTGCACTTTAATAATTCAGTTTATAAATTTTTGCTCTGACATTGCTGTTTTGAGTCATCTATTAAGACAGTTTCTTACAAGCACAGGCTCTGCTTTCAAATCTCAGCTACCCCAGGCTACTGATACAGCTTCTACCACAGGCCCATATGTACCATCCTCTTACGCTGAGACATTATGGTTTGAGTATAAAATGTCCCTCATACCCTAAAGTTTGTTTTTTGTCGTTGTTGTTGTTGTTTTTGTTTTGTTTTAATTGGTGAGTTGTTTTGAGTCAGAGTTTCCTGTAGCCCAGGCTGGCCTTGAACTTGATACTTCTGATCTTCCTGCCCCATCTACTAAATGCTAGAATTGCAGGCACAGGCTAGCACACTCAGGAGTATACTAGGGATCAATCAACTCAGGGCACTGCACATGCTAGGTAAGCATGTAGACCTAGATTGCCTAGAATTCACCATATAAGTCAGTCTAGCCTTGAACTTGCAGACTTCCCCTCCTGTCTCTGCCTCCTGCATGTTGAGATTACAAGCTGGAGCCACCACATCTAGACCTAAGTGTGTCTAGTAATGAATGAGTAGTTAATACAAGTTATGTATTCTCTTATCCCTAAACTTACTATAAGTCTCAACCCATGTTTCAACTAAGGTTATAATCAAGCAAGCACAAACCAAGACAATCTGTATTATTCTCTTGTTCTCATTCCTTCTCAGGGTAGAGAGCAAACTGAGCTTACAGTCAGGTGGATAATGCTATCCGGTTTGGGAAGCTGAGAGCTTCATGTACCTCCTCAAGGTATAAGAATCCTAGGCTTGATGTGTTCTCATTCCTTGTCCACACAGAAGTGGTAACAGCCCTTGCTATTCATTATAATAATCAAAAAGATTCTTCAACTTTTTTTCCTTAAAGAAAACTTCTTGGACCATATCATATTTGAGGTATTTAAGTAGCTGTTTTCAGATACTACATTCCTGGTAATAGTGTATCTGTCACCACTAAGGAAGGAAAACCGATTTACTGATACATACAGAGCTTTGTACAAACTTTAGTACTTTTAAAGCACTTTACCATATAAACAGTCTGACTGTGTCAATAAAGGAAACATTCAGTGTTTAATAGCAATTATTTACTGATGTTTTACCGGGCACATTTTATCAACCTAAAGCACTAGGATTTACTAAATCAAATGAAACCTGTTAAAATTTTGTAAATTTCAGCCTTGTACATTAAAATTCTCCCTATTAAGTAGCTTATTAAGCTGACCACTAATTTTGCTTTAATTCTTTATATTTTTAACATCATAAATAATGCCTATTTATGCTACATGCCTCACCAAAGCGTACATGTTTTTCTTGTGCTACCTTCCTTCAAGTGTAAATGTTCTGTTGACGTTTTAGACTTCAGTAAAGTCTATACTGTACGCTCATCACATTTCACTCAACCTATCACAACCTTGCATTTCCACAGGATGTGAACACAAGGGAGAGAGTTAAGAAGACCAGCTAACTTGATGCCAGGACCAGTGCGGCTTTGACAAGCTCACAAACAGACCACACAAATAATAGAATCACATAAATGTGCCACATCTCTTCCTTTGTACCTTCAATCCTCTGAAACTTCCGGGGCTGGTTGGAGAGGAGCTGGAGGACTTGGTGGACTTAGGAGTGGAAAGCTGGCTGCTGGGAGTTCCATTCACTGGCCAGGAAACAACAAAGGAAACAGCCATCAAAACTCCAAACAACCAGATTTCGAAAACACTAAGCACATGCACGAAATGGCTCCAATGAAGCTTTGCTTCATTCAAAGCCCAAAGCAGGTGACGAATCAGCAGAAAGCAAAAGCAATGTATTACTGCATTACAGACAAAGTCAGACAAGGAGTGACATTAGAATTATTTGCAATAATAGTGTCCCAACAATGATATAAACAAATATAGAAGACAATCATGGAATTACAGGTGTGAGTGAGAGGCCCTGTCCACACAACCTGCCTTCCAGAAAACACAGACAAATGACTGGCTGCTGTTTGCAAAGGTCTATGATGACAGCCATTACAGACTGCCAATATGCATCTTCATCTTGGTGTTTACTAATGGGAGTCACAGAGAAGGACTTATGGCTCTTACGTCAATTAGACTGTAATCCAAATACTCAAGTGCACATGTATGTCTGCCTGCCTGCCCTCCATACATTCTACTTTTGATGGTAAGAACTGAGCAAAGCATGTCATACATGCTAAGTACATGCTCCATCACTGAACCATAGGTATATTCTTAACCATTAGGTATATTCTTAATAAAAAGTGAAAGTAACTCTTCCTTCTCATACTCATTACTTGATTGAAGGTCATTAAAAGATAATTATTCAAATATTTTTAGTATAGGCTAGTTATTTCTAATCCTCCCCCTTTTCTTCACAGTTTAATTTGCCAATTCTTTAGCAAATGCTGGTAGTTTTCTATATACCCGCTTCTACACCTCTATATGCTTCTTTGGTTGAAAGCTTGAACTGGAGTCTATGCTAAGCAGAGGGTGGCTAACCCTGTTCATAAGGGGACTTAATCACAGATTAGCCTGCAGGGTGCTGGTCAACCAACTCAGTACCCTGCACGTACACCCCCAATTCTATCATGTACATCTATGTCTGCAGTGATCTCAGGAAGCTAGTGCTTACTATTTGGGATTAGTGGTTTGTTCTCCTCTTAAAAGTACTTGTAATTCCTCTTCAGAAGTAATCCTCAAACGCTTTTGCCCAAAAGCAGATGAAAGCTGACATTTATCTTTATGAAAAGCAAAATGAAATCAACTTTTCACTTTTAGACATAAGGAGGCACATAGTATTACTTTAGATTATCTGAATTAAGGTAGAGGTCCTGCACAGGCGACTCAAAAATTAAAAACTAGTCCCTAAGTGGAGGCAGAAACTGTACACCAAATAGTATATACCATCAGCTAGAACTTTTTAAAAGATTTATTTATTTATTTATTATTTATTTATTTATTATTTAATGTATATAAGTACATTGTAGCTGTCTTCAGACACACCAGAAGAGGGTATCTGATCCCATTACAGATGGTTGTGAAGCACCATGTAGTTGCTGGGAATTGAACTCAGGACCTCTGGAAGGGCAGTCAATACTCTTAACCACTGAGCCATCTCTCCAGCCCCCCAGCTAGAATTTTTAATTTTCCTTATTCTAAATTACTGAGTTATCTAGATTTTCGTGTGTGTGTGTGTGTGTGTGTGTGTGTGTGTTTCATTTGTTCCTTCATGTGCATGTTAACATGCATGAGGAGGCCAAAGATCTCTACCTTATTTCTTAAGACAGGATCTCTCACTAAACATAAGTTCATGCATTCAGCTAGGTTGGATGACTGGCTGGCAAGTGAGCTCCTGAAATCTGTCTCCCCCGCCCCCACCCCAGTGCTGGGGTTACAGACGCACGCCTATGCCCATGGTGCTGGGATCTAAACTCAGGTCCTCACACTTTCACAGTAGGCACTGTACTGGGAAATCACCTCCCTAGCCCCAATCTATTTTTTAGAGACACAGAAACGACTCTAAATGACACTTTAATGGTGAGCGGTTGTCACACGAATTTGCTCAAATCACAGAATGCACAACCATCAACAGTGGCCTGCACATCATGAACTCTGGATGATAATAATGTGTTGGCTGCAACAACTGCATTCTTCTTCATAAAGGTGATAAGGGAGGCTGTGAGTGTTTATGCAAATAGGGACACGGGAAACCTGAATCTTTGGCTCAGATTTGCTGTAAGCCTGAAACTGTTCTCAGGAAGTCTCTAAAAACTCTCTTTTTAGGGGACTCACATAAAATAGAGATCATTGTGGGCAGTAAGCTAGAAAGCTTGCTGTCAGTGGAGACAGACTTTCACTCATTTGTTTTAAACCTCCATCTCACTCAAATATCTGTCCAAGTGACCAATGCACAGCAAGCCCTCCCCTGGGCCCTCACTGTGTCCATCTGGCAGCACACAGAGTTGGGCTGCGTGATGGTGGCAGAGTGGGGCCTGCAGAAGAATCAGCTCCTCACATGGCTGTTTCTGGAGCAGACAGGTTTCCTAAAAATCCACTTCCTAGCTAAGGAAACGTACTGCTAGGTATCTAACCCACCATCAATAACTACATGTTCACCCTACTCCCCAAATAACTCCTACCATAAGAAGACGCAGACTCATGGACCATATGAGTTCCAACAGCATGTGGAAAGTCCTAAGAATCACTGGTAAGACAGCCTTAACTTCCCTTTCTTGCACTTTTCTCTGAAGTTCTGGAAAGGCCAATAACTGTGATCCTGAAGGTGCTGTGTGACATCGGTTCCCTTCACTGTCGCACCCATGGAAAAGTGTGGTGACCAGCTAGCACGTGCATGGCACCCCATCCCCTACACCCCACTCAGACTTCCTTCTAGCAAGCTTCCCCTCCTCATTTATAAGGTGGGCTTTCTGTTTGACTGGTCTGATTTTTTTTTAATCCTCTTAAGCTATGTTTAAAGATTTACAACTAGAAACCTAAAACCAGCATTACCAAAAACAAAAAAAAAATGTTGTGTGCATCTGTGTGTGTCTGTGTGTGTCTTTGACCACTTGGCCACATAGACATCAACAGAGGCCAGAGGAGGGCATCTGGTGTTCACATCCATTACTCTCCCCAGTCCTTCAAAGCAGAGTCTCTCCCCTCATCTATGTCTTGTGTTTTCTTTGCTAGGTTGGAAGCCAGCAATCCCCTGTCTCAACCCCTCACCAGAACTGGGATTACAAGCATCCACAGGACACCAGGCTTGTGATATCAGTGCTAGGATCTAAAGGCTGATCCTCAACTGCACAGCAAGCAATCTTAAGCACTGAGCCACCTCTCTGGTCCCTAAAAGCAGGATTTTTAAGACTCGAGTAAGTTAAAGATTGACTCATTTGTGGTGCCTACTTAACTGCCTGTGTATTTACAACAATCTAATTAGCTATTTACATGGAGTTTTGTTGGAAGATTAAGTAGACTCAGAAACTTCACTCAGCAGCACTTTCTTCTATCCTACGGTTGACAGGAACAATATTATAAAGTTATTAGCTCTGTCTGAAATCCCAGTTAATCCTTTAGTGTTGTTGTTGCTGCTGCTATTTAAAGACAGGGCCTGGCTGCATTGTCCAGACTCATTTTAAATCTCCTACCTGAACAGCTAGAATACAGCACAGCACAGCCTCTGTACAATCAAGCACTACTGCTTTGGATACTACCACTTATAATGACACAATACTTTCTGCCCCGTGTGGTCAGAGAACGTGGGGTAATCACTGTGAACTGCCAGCAGGAGCAGAGGCGTCCAGCTTTCTAAATAAACTGTTAAGCCTCTTCAAGGGCCTCTTCCACAGACCGTTTGCTGAGATGTGGTTTTCAAACTTCACAGCTTTCCCTGAGGAGTCTGAGGATGACTCTATCCAATTGTGGCTCAGCTGGAGATTCTGCATACTGAAATGCTAGTCCTCAACAAATTTTTAAGCACTGCAAATTCAGATTTTAAAAAATCATTTAAATATTTACTGGGCTTTGTCATAGAACGATAGATGATCTGAAGACAAATGTGGCCAGGAAATGTTATTATTCAGTAAGTTTCCTCTTCAGACCTCAGGGGACACAGCTGAATTAATCACACCTGACTCCTGAGCCATTCTCTCTACTTTTATGTAATCATTTTCCTGACATGACAAGCATCTATAAACCTGTCACTTGAAACAAAAGCTAGGAATAATTCAGCCAGAGAATCAGATCCAAGCACGTTCATGTCCCAGTTCTAAGATACTGCAGAGCCAATACAATTTAAAATAACGGCAATGGCAGAGATACCTTTGGTTTAAAAACCCAAGTGTCAACTGTCACATATTTAGAAAGCCTGAGTGTAGAGTGCTGTATGAAAATTAATTGTTTCCCACCTAAAAAGACACAGTCTGGGCTGCCTCCCTTCATGTGCAGGAAACACTTCATTTTCCTATTCTGGCACAGGCCATCTAAAGTACTTTGAATTAGAATGTTTTTAGTTTTAGAATGACTCCTAACCTTTATCCCAGGTACGAGCAAAGTGTGAGGTTAGAAATTCCTTCCACATCTTTACTGCTAACAAACGTTAGTCTTTTTAGTTGAAGAATATTTTCTACAGCTCACTAGAACACAGACCTCCTGGAGGTGACTGCCTCCCCTCGGGGCCACTGTGCTTTAACTACACAGACAGGCATTCAGCAATATTCTTAGGTTAAGAGATTCTGTAGCAAGCAGGGAGGCTGCAGTGGCCTGTGCACTGTAAACCGCTGTTACATATGGCACAGATGTCCACAGGAGAAGACCGGATACATTTATGGAAATGGAGCAAAGAAAACAGAGATGCAGCAGGAGACAGAAACAAAACCCAGCAGAGCAACCAAGCTGTAAGGACCCTGGCTCACCTGGGGATCTGGCTGTAGCATAGGCACTGGAGTGGCCAGCCCTCTTTACTGTACACACGAATATGCACAGGGCAGGAGAAGACAGTAAGGAGAGTGGTTATTCAGCAGGTCTACAAGACAGTAACACAGCCTGCCCTACAGGAGGTGGGGTGGGCCCTGCCACAGTGCAGCAGAGAGATTATCTGAGCAAGTCTGATGTTAGAGACAGTTCATCTGGGACCACTCTCAGATGCCTCACATGTCAAATCCTAACTGTTCCAAAGAAAGAAAAGCTTAGTTCACTCCAAGGGGCAGCAGGCTGGGCAGGAATAAGGATGCTGCCTGCAAAAACAAACTCTTTTTCTCTAAAATCATCTCCTTAACAATAAATTAAATGAGTAAAATTATTTGTAATGATTATAAATTCAACTTATTGAGACATAATTTGGGTGTTTTCAACGTTACAAATATAAAAGCAGTGCAAAATTTGACAAATATGTTAAGATTTGGATCTGAAGATTATAGAACTTAAGTAATCCTTTCTGAGAATAATCATTAATACATGGTTGAGGAAAGAAAAGACTGTGGAATCTCTGAAGCAAATATATTTCTGTGTGGAACAGTGTGTGTGTTGCACCAATAAGAAGTAACTTCTAGAAGATAATTATCCACAATTATGAAGCACAGAACTCAAAATACAGTAAACAGTGCTCAAAATGCAAAGCACTTTTGTATGCGCACCAGTGGAAGGCAGACAGTGAGGTCTGCAGGAAAATGTGCCAGAACCAAGTGCAGGACTTCCTTGAGAGACCTCTGGAAGACAGGTCTAAGGGTTTTGACTAACAAATCTTATTGTCTACTATTGTTCTAGAATGTGACTGCATATAAGCTGCCAAAAGCTGTTAAGTTTATAACAATGTGAGAAAGTTAAGACCATCCACGGAGTCTCTGTTACTACCTGAAGCTGGTGACTTGCTGCGACGGGAGAACCCTGGGCTTCTGGACCCAGAATACTTAGCAGCTGAGGCTCGAGAATAAGACGACTTCAGGACACGGCACTCTGTAAAGAACAAAAGTGCATTTGTAAGTACAGCAGATCTTAGCAGTGATCAAACATACGACACTTGACTATAGCTAGCTGCTTGTAACTAGTATGTGTGTGCGCAGGCACATGTGCAATCATGTGACTCCAAGAAGCAAGTGGCCTTCCTCACTCATTCTCTACCTACCTGAGGTGAGCTCTCTCACTGAACTCAGGGATTGGACTCTGCTAGGCTGCTTGGACCAGTGAACTCCAGGAATCCTCTAATGTTGACCTCCCAGTTCCAGACACTTAAGCCACCGGCCTGGCGTTTTGTGGGGGTGTTGGAGATTTGAACTTGGGCCCTCAAACTTACACGTATAGACCTTACCAAGGCATCTCCCCAGCCCTATTCCTATTACTTGACAATCTCCTTCCCATCCCACCTTTTATTGTTCAGTGCTATAAATTGAACCCAGGACTTGGGGAGCTGCCAGCCCCTGAGCTCCATAAATTCAACGCTTGCAGCAACTATCCCGAAAGTACATGTGAGGTTTACATCTTCTGTTAGATTTAGATCACACATCTGTGACACATCATTGTTTGGACTGAGTTCTTACTCGGCACAGAACTCCACTGTCCTAAGCAAATGCACAATATCATTCACAGATAAGCTGCGCCTTTTTGCACAGGCAGCACAGACCATAATTTTATTGTCCTCTTCAAGTCCCTCCCTATCTTACATCAAAAGGACATGAAACACTGACTTATGATCTATTTACTGTCTAGCTACCCGTCTCTCCAAAGCATGGAAGAGTAAAATGGAGAAAAGTACCTCTAAACAGTAACACTGACCTTTCCATAAGCCACCAAATAAAACAGCATTTGGAGAACAGAACGAATTACAGCTGCAATCACCACTTCACATTTGAGTAATTAAGATCACAGGGTTTGCAGTCAGGCAGGCTCGGGATGACTCATAGTCTCCACATTTGCTAACTGGAAGGAAGACCCTGCTTATGTTCCAGCCTCCGTATTTCTCCTTAACATATTAGCATAAGAATAAAATGTGCTTCATAGGCTTGTTGTAAGGGATAAATTAGATAACACATTGTCTATCATTTACTTCAAAATACTTCAATTTATGCAAAAAGATTAAAATGTGAGTTAATTTTAATCTATATCCCAGGGGTGGTAAATTAACATGTGAAGTGTTCTAATCAGGGGAGACACACCAGGGGAGCCTAGTTAACATCTGAAAGGCTCTAATCAAACCTTATATAAATGGGGCAGCTCCACTTTCTGCTAACCCATTAGTATTATGGATTGTGTTCCACTGTCTCAAAAGTACAGTGTGTAGACTGTTAAACATTTTAGAGACAATGTCTCTCTAATGAGCAGGATGTAACAAAACAAACCCCAATATACTGGAACTTCAGAAACACACCCGGGTTTAGGAATCAGGAGAGATTTGTCGTTTGACCAAGATTAGTTTAGCACAGTGGTTCTCAATTTGTGAGTCACAACCCTTTTGAGGTCAAATGACCCCTTAAGACTATGGGGGAAAACACAGGTATTTACACTACAATTCATAACAGTAGCAAAATTACAGTTATAAAGTAGCAACAAAGATAGGAAGGTTGAGAACCACTGGGTTAGCAGAATTCTATGCATTTTAAGTGTTTTGATTTAAAGACAAGATCTCACTATATAGCCTTCGCTGGCCTGGAAGTCACTGTGTAAACCAAACTGGCCTCAACTCAGGGATCTGCCTGCCTCTACCCCACACATGCTGGAATTAAAAATTATCTGCCATCATACCAGATTCTCTTTCATTCCTTCCTCTTTCTTCTTTTTCTTTATTGTTTTGGTGAGCTTTCAAACATATGTTATGTTCCTTTGATTTTTGTTATTGTTTTAATGCATGAACTTTAATGTGTGATATTTAAACCTGGAGCTCTTAAGATGACAACACAATTATACAACCGAGGTTTAAAAAACTTTGCATTCTCATAAGTGTATTTTGTGATAAAATCTAATCTGAAATCTGCCCTCACAGTACAACTTCACCATGTAAAGATGATGCTACAAAGCTGACATATTAATTCAGGTAATCTTCACAAAATCTTGTAAGCTACCCTTATCGCTCTAAGAAGGTTAAATAACTAGAAAGTGAGATGGGTTAAAAATTGATCATTTTTTTTTAATCTATTAGAAGCCATCTTCATCAACAACCACAAAAGCCAGATAATCCAACTAACTCAGATAAATTTACAACATATAAAGCATCAGCTGACCTGCCTATACACACAGAGTAAGTACTTAACAATGTTTTCGTTGCTACCATTAGCACCACCATGGTAACTACAGTGACTAAGTCACTACCATCTTCACTGATTAGAACTTAGTTGATTGTGGAGTGTTGGAAGGATGCAGAGGCAGGGCCAGATCATCTTGGGCTATCTTAGCCCCCAGTAACCATTTACTGCCAACCTGTGCATGACAGTTAGGCAAATCTTTTTAAATATATGTACAGATCCCTAGTTTCAGCAATGCAAGATAAGAACTCACCAGATAGCCTCTGAGGCATCTAATGTGGTTTTCCACTTTTCTGACATCTGTCTGCCTGATATTTCTACTAATGTATTTTAAAAGTGTCTTGGTTTGTGGCTTTCTTTGTTCTGTTACTCTAGAAACTTCATGAAACTGTTGCCAAGGTAACTGGAGTAACCTGAATCCGTGTTCCTGGGCCACAGTCATTCATATTTGGCTCCAGAATAAACTGTCTCTTGTTCTCTGTATGGAGCTTGGCTTTTTACACTACACCACTTTAAACACTACAACCTACAAGCAGAATTTAGTTTCAGTGTCTTGACTTTCAAAATGTCTACTTATTGACAAAATCATTCAGAAACTAAAAACTAAAATTAATAAAGATGTAAAATACAGCTAAAACTATCATTTCTACCAGAGTAGGTATACAGAATTAAGACAATAGGATACAACCATTTCCCTAAAGCCAGTATCATTTGGAATCATTGAAATAATGGTTAAGAATTCCATAATAGGTAAAAATAAAGAAATGGGCATTTTCATCCCTTGAGATAGTTATTTTATAAATATACAATGAATGTTTTAAAGCATATTTTAAAACAAAACTATGATATAAAAAGAAATCTCAGATAATTACCACAGACAGTTTATTAATCATCCTTCAATATGTTTTCAGTCTGTTGCCAAGGCTGGCCTTAACTCCTGGAGTCAAGTGATCCTTCTCCCTCAGTGTCCTGAGTAGCTGGGACTACAGGGAAATACCACTCATACTTGGTCAGCTTTCTCCAGTATACCTAGGTTAACATGTCTGAGTCTTTAAATTCTGAGCTTTCTTTTCAGGAGCAACAAAAACAATCAATGAATTGCCTCACCGCTATGATCCAGGACAAAGTCATCTTGGGCATAACGATATTTTTCAGGTCCGCATGCAATAAAAACATCATCATCTCCAAAAAAGTCTTGCAGACAAGTAACCTAGAAAAAACAAACAAACAAACAAACAAGAAATTAGAAACATTAGAGCGCAATAAAAGTCAGCCAAATTAAACCCATGTTCAAGGTTTACCACCACACAGTAGTGGGACAGAGGCCTGTTCACTGCGGCGCCACCTCCCGCTCATCCGCTTCATCAAGGTTGGGGAAGACTGGCCATGATGCTGGTCACTGAGACTAAGACTGGAGGCTCTTCCTGGTCCTGCACCCTCATGTGTTGTCTAAATTACATCTTCAGTTTTTTAAAAAGCTCCCCACTCCACACTAATCCGTTTCAGATCCCAGAAAGCCTTGTCCACAGCAGTAAAACATCCATCTTCGGCCTACTGGTGATGGCAGAGCCATTTCCAGCACTTTGATATGAACAAGCTGTGTTTCAATGTGTTTTACAAGAATCTACATAAAAATTTCTCTTATGAAAATGGCTTCGTTCCCAAAATAATAATGTGTTGGTTTTTTTTAAAATGTGCTCTGCTTCTTGGGAGTTCTCTGCAATCTCAGTAAGACCTTCTATCTCTATGGTCACAATTCAGCTTTATATTGGAGTAAGTATAAGTCTTACTTAAATATAAAGTAAGTAAGTCTGCACAAAAAAATATGAAGAACTAGATATAGTGAATGGCTTGGGTTATAGTAATTAAGTAATGAAGATGATATGCTTCTTTGCAACCAGTCAGTACAATAGGCATGGGTTCTGTCCTTGTCTTCCAATTATCAATCAAGACCCAGCTTCTGTAGTTAGCTTACACCTGATCATATCAGTGTTTTAAAAGCACCAATCACCTTTCACCTGCTAACCCTGCCGCTGCTCCCACCTCAGGTGGTGATATCATTATCCACTTTTTGGATTGTGTGATCTATGTCTTCATCCACACAATACTCCTGGGAATCCTGTCATCAGGATTGGTCTTTCACACTACTCACATGGCTGAGAAGCATGTCAACCTCCACGTGATTAGCATGCACCTGGTGTCTGCTGCTGTCCTGATGCTGGCTATCCTACCTTCAGTCTCCCCACATCCCCCAGGTTGAGTCACTGTCACCACCAGAGTGACCACACCAACCTCATTACAGACTAGAATCACTTCACCCGCCCCTTCAACCTTGTATCTGACACTTCCCCTGTTCACTTCTCAACCATGACGTGCTCCCACCAGCATAGCAGTTGTGGTTTGTTTTGGTTTTTCTTTATTAAGACTTGAGTCATAAACTGCTCTAGTTGTGTTTCTATTGCTCTAGGAGAGAAGAGTTTGTTTCATCTTATAGATGAGGTTTATCACGAAGGGAAGTCAGGGCAGACGCAGAGGTAAAAATCATAGAGAAGTGCTGCTTACTGGATTGCTCAACTTGCCTTTTTATACAACCCAGGGCTACCAGCCAAGGGGTAGCACCACCCACAGTGGGTTAGGGCCTATCACATGCATCAATCAACAAAATGTCTCATGTGTTTGCCTATAGGCCAGTCTTACAGACACACTTTCTCACACGAGGTTCCTTCCTTTCAGATGACTCTAGCTTATGTCATGCTGACATAAAATAACCAGCACTATACAATCACCCATTCAAGTACACAATTCAGAACCATCCAATACATCAGAATTGTACAGCCATCACCACAATCAGGTAAGAAATTCTGAGCCCATTAGCAGTCATCTCCTATGGCCTCTTCTCTCATTATCTGGTACCCATACTCTACCTTATATCTGCAGTTCTATGGAGCCCAGATTTTTTTAATGTTATTTTATTTTTATATGTATGGGTGTTTTGCCTACATACATGTCTGTGCATCACATACATGCTTGGCATCCAGAAGCCAGAAAAAGGTGTCATATCACCTGGAACTGGAGTTATAGATATTTGTGAGCTGCCATGTGTGTGTGGGAATTGAACCTGGGTCTTCTGGAAGAGCAGCCAGTGCTCTTAACTGCTGAGCCAACTCTCCAGCACTCTCCAGATATTTCATATACATTATATCATACAGTACAAGGCACTTTGTAATGGCCTTTCATTGAGCTTGTTTAACTTTCATCCAGGTTATAGCAAATGTTGAGTGCTTTATTATTTTCTATGTTGGTGTAACACTGTTTTGTATAAGGCAAACTACCTGATGGACATTCATAGTGTCTCCACCTCAGGGTCAGCGTCATCACTGCAGTATTTCACACGTGGACTTTTAGTATGTGTGCCTGTGTTTTTGTCCACATGCATCAATCAACAAAATGTCCCATGTGTTTGCCTATAGGCTAGTTGTATAGAGACATGTTCTCACATGAGTATGGTGAGCTGTGTATTAGACTATTGCCAGGGTTATCTGTTCTTTTTATCTGAGATAAAAAGAAGGGTCAGTGGACACAGGAAAGAAGAGATGAAAAAAAGTCAAGGCTTTTGACTAGTGTAACAGAATGCTGTAGCTGCCATTAACTCTTACAGAACAAAGTAAAAAATGAGCTTAGTGGCAGACAGGGTGATCCAAGATTCAGACCTGGAACCTAACTGTGAAATGACTATCAAACAGTCAAGTAGAGGTGCTGTCCATAAAGCTGAACACATATAAATCTCAACTTCAGGAGAGAATCCAAGGCTGAACGCTGGATTCACCGGTATGGATGGTATTAGCAACTAAACCCGTGTATGTGCTCATAAAGAAGAGGTCAAAGTGGAGAGGTCAGTCAAGAAAGTGTTTCAAGGGGCCTTAGTGTCAGTTCCTCACAGGAAAAATGAGACAGAAACTAAAAACTGAGAACTCAAAGAAGGGAGAGAGAGATGACTGCTCCTGGGAAGCACAGGAAACACAAGGAAAAAGAGTAGGGGAGGAAGGCTAGGTCAAGGGTCAAGTGACTACTTGTTTTCCAAGGTGAGAAAAACAACAGGGATCTACTGTTGCAAAGACCCAGGAGCCAGGAAAATTTGGCTATGGAAAAGAAAAAGAAAATCAGAGCTGTTTGACTTTAGGAGGTAGAATGAAATCAGTAGGCAGAGAAAGTGAGGGGCTCTGGATGCGACCAAGTCTGTCCTTCACAGTGAAGGTGTGAGGACAGGACAGATGGAGGGCACTCACAGCATGGTGCTAATAGGTACTTATACTTTATTCTTGTTAGTTTGCTTTACATACGAGCATGTTTGTAAGAGGAAAGCAGAGGTTTCCTAAGGCTTTGGGTTTTCTCGGCCTGGGAGGAGGTGAGGCAAGTACATGAGAGAAAACCCTCAAGCCTGAAATCTGGGCTCTTTGAGGGAGGGATAGAATCTGCCTGCAGGGCAGCATTGAAGGCACACCAGGGAACAGAAGCTGTCACAAGACAAAAATTCTCAATTGTGAAACTAGAAGGATGCTTTTCAGCCTGTAGGGCTTTTAGAAAAATCAAAATCTCTTTTCCCACCTTTTGTGGTAGAATTAGCATTTCAAGGAGTTACATCTACCTAGAAATGGAAAAAAAATGCTATGAACTCAGATGATAAAAACAAACTAGACTCAGGAACAAAACTTCTCCTGGGCTATTTTCCTGCTGGACTTCAGGTACTGAGAGAGCTGGTGGGAGCCAGACACGGGGTGGAAGACAGGCTTCCTCCTGAGTTACAGGCATATTAGGAGCCATGCTAGAAGACAGGTCAGTGGGGCCTGGGACGGACCAGCAGTTCCTATTAAACCTAAAGGGAAGAAGGACAAAAGCAAAAGCTACAGACAGCACTGCTAACAAGGAAGAAAGGATCAGGAACTGCTTTCCCTACCACTGCTTTAGAGTCAGGTCTCCATTTATAGATTTCAGAAAGCAGACATGGACTACTGTGCTAGAGATTATCATTATTCTAAACTGTAAACCCAAATGCACAAACATAAAACAGAGAGGCAGCGTGATGGTACAGCTGAAATGGATAAAAACCAGTATCCACAGAAGGTGAAGGTATTCCACTTTCTTCAGTACTATCTCAGCACAGCTCATGAAGAATCAGATGAACACAGATCGTGTTGAAAACTAGGCACCTGAACAAGCCCACTGCAGCCACATCAACCTACCCACCTACCCACTCATGTGTGCGAGCACACACACTCACGTGAACAATCTTGGACAAGATATTTAACTTCTATCAGGCTCATAGGAATGAAGGAGCGCATGGAAAAACTAACCTAGTGAAACAGAATAACTGGGACTGGGGAGACACTCAATAGCTATGAGACCTTGTTTTACAAGGAATAGTACCTGAGTGTCTGTGTATTCTGAGTATCTATGCAAAAGTTGGGCACAGCCAAGCATAACCTGTAGACTCTGGTATTCGAGGGCAAAGACAAATACCACTCACAGCTAGCAAGCCAACCTAGCTAGAAACACTGAGTTTTTGGGTTCAGTGTGGTGGTTTGAATGAGTTTCACCTCTAAAGATTTATGTGTTTGAATGGCTGGCCATAGGAATGGTACTATCAGGAAATGTGGCCTTGTTGGAGGAAGCGTGTCACTGTAGTTGGGCTTTGAGGTGCTTACGCTCTGCCCACTGTGAAATCAGAGTTTTTTCTGGCTACCTGCAAAAGACAGTCTCCTCCTGGCTGCCTTCAGATCAAGATGTAGAACTCTCAGCTCCTTCTCCAGCACCATGTCTGCCTGCATGCTCCCATGTTTCCTGACATGACTGTAATGGACTGAACTTCTGAAACTGTAAGCCAGCCCCAATTAAATGTATGACAACATAAGAGTGGTCGTGATCATGGTGTCTCTCCACAGCAATAAAACCCTAACTAAGACATTCAGTATAAAAAACTACCTCAAAAATTAAGGCAGAAAGATAATGAAAGACATCCAACCTCTGCTTTCACACAGCAGAACACACACACACACACACACACACACACACACACAAACCAGTGTCATTTTGTACCTCTACATCTTTTTCATGCGTTCATATTTGGCCACTCAAGTACTACTTTCATGGTTTACAACTTATTTCATATACTTGAATTCTGAATTTTTTCTTTTAATTTTTATTTTTTTAAAA